CCTTTCAATTCTCCCCTCCCGCCTTCGGGCAATAAAAAAAAAAAAAAAAAAAATGGCAGCACACAGTAACTCGGTGAAGTGCAGAATAACACCGCAGTTTGGGATCCAGAAGCGAGGGAGGTGAAAGAGAAACAAAGTTCACTTTTTACACACCTTCCCCATGATGACGTTATCCATTTTTAGAGAGCAAGGCAATGGGACTAAAAGCTGTGCGGATAAATGTTGTTTATTAGATGCCACACTTGAATTTACCATCGTAGCAATGCTGGTTGCATTCATTTTAGATTGTGGTTATTATTTGGCAATGTTTCACATTTCCAAAGGAAATTTGGTGACATGAACATGCAAAGAAAACAAGAACTTGACCTTGCAGATATTGTCCATATTGATATGCTCAATCGTAAAGAACAGCACAACGGCGTTAAGAACCCTATAAAACAAATGGAGAAGAGTGTGTGCGCAAAATGATAGCAAGCAAGTTTGTTTTGCTGGAGACAACAATGTGATCCTATGCTGCAGTTTATGATTCAAACAAACATCATCTGCAGTTTTTCTTGAAAATACATCCTGAATATACTGTTCTGTGAGCAGCAGATTAAAACAACAACAGTACCGTACATTTGCACAAATGCTCTTCATTTAGATAAAGTAACTACAGAAGAAATGTATTCACAGCAAGTTGTTGGTGCAACAATAACAACAAATGATACTTCTGCAATATCCGCAAGAGGAAGTAGCACAATTCTGTTTATCATGATTCAAAGTGTCAAGGACAAGCTATGAGCACTCAAATTTTGGTTAGTTTTGATGTTTTATAATTGTTTTCCATCACGTGTTATTTCATCAGCAGTAGGCGGGGAGACTTTTTTTATGGGAAGCATCTATTTCTTCTGTCTTATGTTTCAACTGAAGTCCTTCATTCGCCCTGAGGGAACGCTGACTCGTTCGGTGCCACGGAATGCCAACTGCAAATAGCTTTATGAGTTGTCGTTTGAAACCAAATACCATCGACGTCTGGTTTAGCAATTTAGCATATCAAACATGTTGCCATATTCCATACAAACGATGAATATCAACAATGCCAACAAGCCAATGTAATGACTCTTCCCCAACTCCTCCGCATTAGTAACGCTTTCAACATCAGCCCACACACCAGGCCAAAATGCGGAAAATCATTCTATCACCTGAGTATTGCAAAGTCAAATCAGAGTCGCAAATGACTTCCTGATTGCACGGTTGGATGTCATTGTTGGTTGTTTGTAATGTATTAGGTAGTTATGTTCCTTTCTGTGAGTCATGAGTGGATGGGATATATCACTGATCAACACGATTCTTTTTGCTGAAAAATATGCCTACACTCGAACGAGATATGAGGCTGACATTTTGTGTGAGTAAAGACATTTAGATGAAGTAGTTAAACTATGCATTTCGTGTGAAATTCAGCAAAAGAAGTGCTTGTGTTTAAAAAAAGCTATTCGATTTGATTTCAATCGCATCCTCCAATTTCTTGGCTTGGGCCCTACGAACAAGGATTCTACACATTTTACGTCTTTCATAGGTTCCACTGTTGGGTAGCTCTTAATATGAAGTCCTTAAAATTGTCATGATTCCGTTCTGTTTATTCCCCAGCAGGTGGCAGTGGTGTTCCGGTCTTTATTGCTGCACACCCGTTCCTCATTGGAAAACGGATGATTTAGTGACTTCCAAGCAGACAACTGACTGTCGGATAATTCGCCTTGCTCATGCCATTGTTCATGTGCAGTTTTCTAGACGATATTGCTCCGTATTCTCCATATTTTCCGTTTAGTACTTTTGAGCCTGTGTTTAATTATTAATCTCGGTTTTGGTAATTTCGTGATTGGGTCATCTAGTCCTTTGGTAACAGCTATTTTTCCCCTTGCAATCTGCAAGCGGCGCTTTTGGCTTCCCTCGTTTTCTACTGATGTGTCCACCAGTGTCATTATGTGTACTTTGTCGGCTTTGCGCCACTTTTTGCTGTCAATAAAAATTTTTTGGAGAGATCTAAGTTTACGTTTGCAGACTCTGATTCTGAAACCATAACAACAACAACAATGCAAAGTACAGGACTTCATTTGGCCATTCATTACTGTGTACACAAGAGAGACGACTAATAAATGGACAAATCAGGAATATTAATGACGCCTCGTAAAGTAAACACAATAATTTTTAAGTGATGATCGTACATACGGCATTAGAATGATTACTATTAACAAATGTGATTGATCAACAGATGACAATTGATTGCTGCTTTCATCCGGTGGTTGCCGGCTAGATATTAGCAACTAAACTGCTGATGTTTACATGGGCAGGCTGTGCAAAAACTTGACTTGCATAGTCATGCTTTCCACTTGATCACTTGGGTGCTACTTGTTCAAATGACTGAACAGGTTTCTTGGACTGCCTTGTTTTTGACGACTTACCATGCACAACAGCTCCCTCCGCCACGTTGTTTTGGAGATACAGCTAAGGGAGGCCTGGTCCCAAATGGGCCCAGGCCGCACAGACCAATTTGAGAGGAGGTGATTGGTAATTTATGAATCAGCGGTGGTTTACTGCATGTTTAAATTCAAAGTAAAACTCAAATTGCAAGGAAAAGATGTTACATCTTGAAGATGAGATTAAGATTTTGTTTCACATAATTATAGTTGTCAAGTGTGACAGAAAGTTTTGTTTGGCTATATATATATATATATATATATATATAAAAAGCACACTAAATGACAAAATGAGATGACTGATTTTCAGCAAGCCGGCATGTTACTACTTATCAGTGGCTTAATACACTAGTTTCTTGGCTTGGGCCCTACGAACAAGGATTCTACACATTTTACGTCTTTCATAGGTTCCACTGTTGGGTAGCTCTTAATATGAAGTCCTTAAAATTGTCATGATTCCGTTCTGTTTATTCCCCAGCAGGTGGCAGTGGTGTTCCGGTCTTTATTGCTGCACACCCGTTCCTCATTGGAAAACGGATGATTTAGTGACTTCCAAGCAGACAACTGACTGTCGGATAATTCGCCTTGCTCATGCCATTGTTCATGTGCAGTTTTCTAGACGATATTGCTCCGTATTCTCCATATTTTCCGTTTAGTACTTTTGAGCCTGTGTTTAATTATTAATCTCGGTTTTGGTAATTTCGTGATTGGGTCATCTAGTCCTTTGGTAACAGCTATTTTTCCCCTTGCAATCTGCAAGCGGCGCTTTTGGCTTCCCTCGTTTTCTACTGATGTGTCCACCAGTGTCATTATGTGTACTTTGTCGGCTTTGCGCCACTTTTTGCTGTCAATAAAAATTTTTTGGAGAGATCTAAGTTTACGTTTGCAGACTCTGATTCTGAAACCATAACAACAACAACAATGCAAAGTACAGGACTTCATTTGGCCATTCATTACTGTGTACACAAGAGAGACGACTAATAAATGGACAAATCAGGAATATTAATGACGCCTCGTAAAGTAAACACAATAATTTTTAAGTGATGATCGTACATACGGCATTAGAATGATTACTATTAACAAATGTGATTGATCAACAGATGACAATTGATTGCTGCTTTCATCCGGTGGTTGCCGGCTAGATATTAGCAACTAAACTGCTGATGTTTACATGGGCAGGCTGTGCAAAAACTTGACTTGCATAGTCATGCTTTCCACTTGATCACTTGGGTGCTACTTGTT